CATTTACCAGCTTCCCAAAATTTGATCCATTGCCCTATTTAGATTAAAACCCTCTCTGCTTCCCTAGTTATGCAGCTTACTATAAAATCTGCCTCATTACAGTTTGGTAGAGACCATCCCATTGGTATAGACCCCACTTTTCTTAGTGCTGGTGCCAGTACCCCACAAACTGAACTCACTTCTACTACACCAGTCTTTGAGCCACAGATTAATTTCTTTAATCTTATTTGCCCAAAGACAATTTGTATGTAGCTCAGGTATTAATCCCGATATTATCTTTGAGATTCTGCTTCAAAGCTGTGTGTTTGGTTTGTCACACTCACTGTAATAAACCTCTTTCCCTTTTCCTTGCACTGCCTGTATGGTTGGTCCCTACATGGGCCATAACTACTGGATCATCCCCCTCCTACCGAGAATTCCTTTTCCAACCCTGAACAGATGTGCTCAAACATTTCCACTGGCAGTTAACACAGGCTTCTGAATTGTTACCGTCTGAGAAGCCCTTCACAGGAACCTAGGGAAGGTCATCATAATGTATGTGATAGTCTACCCCACCCACCATGTGGTGTGGGAATCGTGAGTAAAATGTCTGTTAATAAGGAAGTTCATGCTGTCATTGACCATCTGCCTCCTATTAGCTAAGCCACTGTTATCCCAAGATAGCAGCCTTCAGCTGCCATTAAACCCTAAAACCGTAAAACCCTAACCCTGATTTCTGAGGAGGGGCCCACAGAAAACTTGCATTTGTTTTGTGCCTTATCGCATTCTTCTTTCCATTCAAGCCACTTCATGTCTAATTAATTACTTCTAAGTAATATGTATAAAAACAATGGAATATCTCACAAACAGCAAGGTTAATTAAACACCTTTCATAAAACCAGGGTCGCCCAAAGCAACCTATTAAATACTTTAGATAACAAGGTGTAGAGCTGGATGAACACAGCAGGCCAAGCAGCATCAGAGGAGCAGGAAGGCTGACGTTTCAGGCCTTGAAATTTCTGAAGGAGGGTCTAAGCCCAAAACGTCAGCCTTCCGGCTCCTCTGATGCTGCTTGGCCTGCTGTGTTCATCCAGCTCTACACCTTGTTATCTCAGATTCTCCAGCATCTGCAGTTCCTACTATCTATTAAATACTTTGCTGCCTAGACACACCACAATGTCCCACATACATAAGTGACATAATAGCCAAATAATCAATGTTGGTGATGTTGAATACAGATTAAATATTAGCGACGGCACCTTTTGAATTGCATGACTTTTGTTTTAGGATCTTTCCATACATCCAAAAGCCTATATATTGCACCTTCTGAAGCATGTTTAATGGACACCAAATAGTGGGATCATATCTGATAAATGTTCTTTTATATATAAAAGTACTCAACTCATTGTTTTTACATAGTTTGGAGTTTTCTCAGTGGTTAATTATATTGTTTTTGGATGAACCTACAGATACAGCCTCAACCAAACTGACCCCAGCAGCTAGCTATGGGTCCCACCCACAAACAAACTGCAGGAGGTAAGGGAACAATATTTGAGCAAGAAACACTTTTTAAGATGAATGCTAATTAGATTCCTCCCTGGACAAGCTTTGAAATTGCTTTTGGCTCAAATTCCTTTTGCCAAACTCCCGTTTAGATATGTCTCTCATTCTCTCCTGAATGTTTTAGTTGAAGCATCCTTCAATATCCCTAGTGTGAATGTCTGTAATGTAACTGTGACAAAATTGTTCACTAACTTTCCAGTTGGAACTTTGCAGTACAGTGGTGTTGTTAAAGCACTTCAAACTACTTAAAAAAAACAAATGTACGTTCTACAGCTTGTATTTATATTGCATTTTTCAGGTTAAGAAAATTTCCAAGCTGCATCACAGGAGCATTACAAGGCCTAACCTGACATTGAGCCACAAAGTGTGTTCAAAGAGGGGGTACCAATTTAAAAAAAAAGGAAGAAAGTACAACCACCAATGGTGGAATGATTTAGAAATCAGAATGCTCAAGAGGACATAATTAGTGGAATGTATAAATCTGACAGGGATTTAAAAACAAAGTTGAGATTTTTAAAATTGTATTAAGCACAAGTCAACGTAATTCATTGAGTATGTGAATTACAGTAGTTGAGTCTATCTAGGGCATGGGTAAGAATTTAAGCAACTGATAAGCTAAGGCAAGCACCAAACTGGATGATGTTACAGAGACGGAAAATTATGGTACCAGATACAGTTGGAATTGTGAATCTAAATAGGACACCAAATTTCAAATGAAGCTGCAGATTTTCTTTAATAATACAAGTTTGTTACACAAAAATTAAACAAACTAAGTTTGTCGAATGATTTTATATCACACAGCAAAGCTGTGGCCTGTTTCCTAAAACTATTTTAGAGACTTAAGTCCAGAGAAATTATACCCATCTCAGCTTCTTGTAGTTTTGTTGACATAAATGAAGTGTGGAGACAATTTGATTAGTCCTTTCCAAATCTGCCATTATGAACTTTTACAAATCTGACAGCTTCAACTTTCTTAGTTCTAATAATCTGCAAATTCCGATGATTCACAAATTAAACCCTTGCGAAGGTGACCGATTCCCCAAACTCCTCCCAAGAGAGAACTAAACTTGACCCTGATATTTTCTGAATTGTATTTAAAAATCTTGCTAAATTTTAGATTATTTTGAAATGAAAACAAATCAAACAGCCTTAAATGTTGTAAGGCCAACAGTATTGACATGTTTCCAATAATAATGCAGGATCTGCAGTCACCTGCTATGACAAATTTAAGTCAGACTGACGAATTAGGTCCCTGTTCCAGAATGACTCTGATCTGGTTAAGTTTTTTTTTCCCCAAAATAACTGACCCACGCATCACCCTAAACATCCTCCACAAACTGAGGTCACTGCCAATGCATTTTTATCACATATTCACAAAAGCTGAAACATTTTAACTAGATAGTCACAACCCTGTTTACTGCATCTCTGATTCTCAATCACAGAATTAAATTTAACAATTATTTATTCAAGTCGGATCCACTTTATTCCCCCATGCCCACAGTGTAGTGAGCCCTGAAGGTACAGGACCTTCAACCAAAAATTTCATGTTGAATTGCAAGGAGTCTTTTACTTCTGTGATTCTGTTTGCTTTGATCCCAGTTAGCTGACTATTTCTTTGCATCCTCCCTTTGCCCTAGACCCTTTCACACAGCCTCCTCCTTACCCACCTTGACACCCTACACATGGATTCCTGCCTCCAAACCACATTAGTTTTTGGCCTCTGGTGACACCCCCTCGATGACATATTGTCCTGCAAATCCCCACATTCGCTGACAACCAGCCTACTCGACTTCTCACTCTTTTCCACTAAACAATTGTCTCACTGTCCTGGGGACTTAAGGATCATTCTGTCTACTGCCCTAATGTATCCTGAGCACTGATGTGGTCAACCACATTAAAGGCAGACAAGTCAAGAAAGATAAGGCAGCATATTTCGTGACGGTCACATATGATGCAATTTTTAATAGTTTCAGTGCTATGGAGGGTAAAAAGCTGATCAGAATGAATGAAAGAGAAGGGATTTGGCAGCACGTTCAAGGGCAATCGGAGATGGGGCAATAGTCCACATAGACAAAGATGCCAACTGTCAGAATATTTTCCTTCAAAATCCAGGATCCTGAAACACTTTTGGGAATAGTGATTTATTAAAATATTTTTTTCCTGAAAAAACTGAACAACAATTACTTAGAACCCCACCAAATAACTGGAGATGCAAATAGCTTGAACACAATACACAAATTGATTGAATCCTTAAAGCCCAAATCCCCATTACTTCTAACATAGTAGAACTGTAAAATTTGCATGTCTCTACTTTATTAAAAAATCTCTGGCAGAATGCAAAATAGGATTTCCATTTATATAGGGCCTTCCAGAACCTTAGGCTGTCCCAAAAGCATTTGAGAACCAATTAAGTACTTTTGAAATGCAGTCACTGTTGTAATAGAAGTAACATGATGGCTAATTCACACATAGCAAAGTACGACGAGATGAATAGGTCCTCTGTTGCAGGTGTTGCTTGAGGGGGAAAGGAACATTTACTAGTCAGTGGAAGACCAGCCATTTTTCCAGTGCTGATGGTAACCGGAGGCCCAGAAGTGACTTTAATTAAGGGCCTTAATTGGTGGCAGTCAGGAAGGTCCCTAGTTGTTGAGGTGAGGCAATTGTCTTGCCAGGGCCACCTCGTCCAATTATTTGCCCTTCTTGCTATCTGTAGGCAGGGGATAATCAGACCATAGAATCTATGGAATTTACCAGATAGGACAGAATGGGGCATGTTTATTAATGCCTCATTGTAAGGACAGCACACTCGACAGTGCAGCACACTCTTTGTATTACACTAAAGTGTCAATCTAAATTTCTCTGATCAACTTCTGGAATAAAATCCATAACCTTCCAACTCTCATAATACCACTCCCCTATGAACCACAGATAACGTCAGACTTATTCATAATAAAATGGCAAAAACCTATGTTTGGCCACTGTTCAGACTACACTAAAACTGGAGCATAACAGCAGTCTGCCAATGAACAGCTTTGTGTAGTGTCACAAATGGAGACCTTGATAATGGTGGAGGAAAGATAATTAATTTGTGTGGGGGAAAAAAGGACTGAACTGCAGTCTGTAGTACCGTAAGCAACAGTGGACTGATTGAATTTTGTACAGTGTTGAAAGTTGGGTGTAAAAGGAGTAATTTTGTAGAAATATGATACAGTCCCAATTTCTAGGAAATTGATTGTCATTTTTAACTAGCACAGATCATTTGGTTTTACTACGGAGAGTACTATAGAAATTGATTGCTGTTCTATAACACTTCAAGCTTCAGTTGAAGTATCAATAATACAAAACAAGAATGAAGTTTTCACACCAGTGAGAAGGAAGATTTTACATTGTAAATTCATTACTAGCTGCCAACACAAAAGAATGATTCTAGCTTGCTAAATAACCACAGGTGCATGAAAGTCATTCAAACAAGGTTTTAATTATGTACAAATTCAGCAAAAAATTCAGCATTTTTGGTTTTACACACCAGTCATGAGCATTAATGTTTCTTAACACGAGATTTTAATGGTACATACATGCACCGTAGTGATATGATGAACCTTCCTTACGTTTATATAGTGCTGATGAAGGGATCAACCAGAGACAATACAGGTCCAGCAGCAGCATTGCCATTAATCCTGTCACATGTGCAACTCAGAAGAGAAAAAAAGAAAGCACATACAATACACAACTGCACACAGTTACCTTAAGAAAATGACAATCTGGATGAAAATTGGTCAGTAAAATGTTTGAATGAACAGTGGGAACACAAAATATTATTCTCAAATACAGCAGTCAAGCAAATAGATTGAAAATCACCTTTGGTGGCAATGTTACCATTAGTTTATCTTCTCATTCAGCATAAATCATTATTGAATATGCCAGTAGTATGTTGACAATTTCACTTACCTTGATATGTCACAGATTATGCAGTAGTTTGTATGTTTAGAATCAACAATCTACATTAAATGGTAAAACAAAATGTGCAGTGGTGCATGAAAAACAAATTAGTTCATTTTGAAGGCATCAACCAAAATTATGCAACACAACTTCAACCTGGCAATGCATTGGAGTATATATGGCATATTTATAAACTGGATTTCACCAAAGCATCTCATTACAGTGTTTCACTCATTGTTGAATACCTGTACTTTTTAACAAGCAATGGTCATTCAAGAAAACAATGGATACTTGCTCCCCATTTCCTGCTGAACCCTGTTCAACTCTCCAAACAAATCTGAGCCTTCTTTCCTCCCTTGGCTGCAGAACAGGATTTCTCCCTTTCACTTGAAAAGAGCAGATGGCTTCGAGAAAGTCTGCAGTTAGAATTGTAGTCTGTGAGATGCTACCTAACAACATTTTGCTTGGTTATCTCTGTCACAGGCTACGATTTTCAGAGGTTAGGCAGGCTGCATCCTACTGCTTGTGGGAAAACTGTGGAGAAAGATTCTGCTTAAATGTGTTTTAAGCGTTTTAATAATGTACAAACACCCAATTAAATGGGAACTAGCTGGGCAAGACATGGCAGTAGCTTCAAATTACTTCTAAAGAATCAAAATGAACATGTGCTTATTTTCCTGGTTGTTTGCAAGGTTTTGGGGGTGGGGAGGGGGGAAGAGAGAGGGTAGGAAGAAGACAGAAAAGGAATGTATTCGTTCACAGCTTCAAATGAGTGAGTTTCCAGTTTCTGAACCTTAATTAACATTACCCTTTGCACTTACAATTCAAAGCTGATTTGTGTATACAGTGTTCTTCTGTTGGTTAACTTCAATCTCTCACATTGCAAATTAGTCAGCAGCCAATCCCTAGCCTTCATCTTGTGAACTCCTTCTGCTGCAGATTCTGGTCAAACCATCAGTCAGGTTCAAGGCAATTGCTCAGATTTCAATTGTCAAACCTGCTTTCTTTATGCCATAGTTCCTTAGTCTCATCATCTACTAATTTCATTCACCACAAACAAAAATGCATTTTGGTTTAAAAAAGAATTAGGCTTTGAATAATGAAAGATTGGTTGATGTGGAACAACAGAAAGATTTAAGGGTAAAAGTTCCTTAGATATTAAAGGCAGACTTTCATTTGCTTTTTGCAAACACGTGACTTCTCAAAGCGTTTTATAATGAAATACCTTTTGAAAGGTGTGGTCATTGTTGTAATGCAGCAGTGAATTTGTCAAGTAAACTCTCACAAACCGCAATATGATATTGATTAGATGGTATTTTTTGTGCTGCTGATTGAGCAATATTGGCTAGGACACGATCAAAAGCCGCATGTGAATAAGGCCATTAAAAAATGACAATAACAGTATTTTATGTCAAGAGGCGCAGAATATAAAAGTTGAACAATGGTAAATCTATATAAAATCATTTAAAAGTCACAGCTGGGAACAGTAGATACCGTTCTGAATTTACATTATAGAAAGGGTGCTAAGGCATTACTGTCCCTGGTATGAGAAGATACAAATAGTAAAGACGAGCAAACAGAAGAGTTTATAGTATGATTTCAGAGATGTTTAAAATTCTGAAGGAATGAGACAAAAATCACCTCAGCAAACGAAGGAATTAGAACAAGAGGACAGTTTCTTTAAAACAGACAAGTGGAACTTATACCCAGAATGAGCATTTAAAAGCTGAAACCACAGGATAGATTTTCACATTTATCACCTTAGTGCTAAACATCACTTAAGTGCAGTGTAAAAAGCAAAACTCAAGATTCCATGCCACTTAGCAGAACCTACCAATTATTTGTTTATTTGCATTTTTCCTAGTTAGTAATTACATAAGACTGCCCACTTGTCAATTTCAAGAATTGGTTAATACAATTTGCTGAAGGAAAATGAGTCACAAGGGATAGGGACTAATTGTGGGAAGGAGAAACACCAACACAGACTGGTTGGGTTGGAAGGAGGGTTTCTGTGCTGTTGTTTTCATTGTAAAATTCCAAATACTTCCAAGAGCAGTACAGATAATGGGATGCAAGAGACAACCGAATTTGAGAGAATAAATATTCTTTGGTTCTATTGGTTTAATTTTGTATTACTTAGTATTTGTATTGCTGTTACCAGGGGCCGATGTAAATAACAGATCAGCTGCCAGTGGCAGTTTGGTCATATCCATAAATGCTTTAAGTGAAAAATGATCACAAATTCAGAATTCTCACCAGTTGAGAACCACTGTATTAGCACAAGCTGTGCAAATATCCAGCTCCAGATGGCATTGAACAAACATTTATCCTATTGCTGCTGTTGGATTAGGTTATAGTCTTTCTTGCTAAATTATATTGTATCTGCAAAGACAGATTAGCATTTTGTACATAGTTACTTTCCACATCAATCCTTCACTGCCTGCATTTTACTCGATACTTTCCTAGTTTGCAATTGTATTGATTACAGTTGTAACTTCATCTATTCTCACATTTATAAACCATAGATAAGAGAATTCTCCCTCCCATTGTGTAGCAAAGCTGTGAATCAATTCTTTGTATAAAAGTAGTTTACAGATATACACAATGCACAAAAGAAACAGTTTGTGTACAATTGTATTTCTGGAACTGCAAATTTGCTTTTGAAACAGAATTAAAGTTGCCTCCACATCTTTATGGTACAAACGAGCTTTAGAGCTAGTCCTGTAATAATTAATAAATAATGTCTGTGTATACAGTCGCTCCAGAATTGAAGAAGCCAGATCATTTGCCGCCCAGCACTTTGAAAAGTAGCACGACCGTCAGATGGAACATTTCAACAAAACCGCTTGCTTAATTACAATCAGGACAAAGACAACAAAGAGAGCTGAAACACAAAGCCCGAGGAGGAAGCAATTATTACTGGCCCAGATACCTGCGCTGGCTTGTATGATGTATAACCAGTAAAACCAATTTTTGATTTTAAAGTTTATTGGCTGAAACCAGGTATAGTGCTCATACCAGTTTCACCAGACTGGCAGAAACAGTCTGTACACAACTTTGCTTTGTAAGCTGAAAAAAATTTTGCCCAACACTATAAAAAAGATACAATTCAATTTACAAGGCTCTTGCTATTACAACTCCTGAAACATGGATCTTTACCCGAATCAATCAATCAGATCACTTACAACATCAAGACAGCCGTGCTAAAAATAAACTGAATTTGACTACTACAAACTGACCCAAGTCTGTGCTGTTTTATACAAATCTAGTCATTGCTATAAACAAAGCTTTTTAGTCAGAAATGCAGACAGCAAGTTGGCTGCACCTGGTATGTGTTGTTAGAAGTCACGTCTGTGGTACAATTCTGGGTCATAGTACTTGGTAACTACGACTCTGTTGGCAAACTTTCGGCCTGTTAGTGCTTGCATTGCTTTTTGGCAGTCTAGAGGAGAGATGAATTCTACAAATATCTGTTTACAAAAAGAAAAGAAAAAAATAATGTTTACTATTAAATAAGTTGGTTAGTTGAGGCTCAACAAAAAAGAAGCAAATCAACATTGTAATAAAGAATCTCTCTGCCCTGAAATATAGGTTAATGCTACAGGACTGAAGTGCTCACTTTTTGTCAGTTCTTTCTGGACCACTAAATAATTAAGCCATTGGATTTTCTTTAGTTTAGTCTTGTTGACTCTGTAACCCAACCTTGGGGTGCCTAGAACACACGTTTTTCCCTTTGAAGGGGTACGCCTACCGGGAGAAACGTCCAAGCACTATATCCAAGTTCTCTAAGTGCTCCTTACTGGTCTCCCCAGTTATTAGCACGTCATAAGGATTGATGCTGTGTCAACTAAATGATTTGGATGTGAACATAGGAGGAATAGTTAGCAAGTTTGCAGATGACACCAAAATTGTACAGCGAAGGTGGTTATCTCAGAGATCAATGGGACCTTGAACAAATGGGCTGAGGAGTGGCAGATGGAGTTCAGTTTAGATTAATGTGATGTGTTGCATTTTGGTAAGGCAAATTAGGGCAGGACTTATACACTTAATAGTAGGGTCCTGGGGAGTGTTGTTGAACAAAGAGACCTTGGAGTGGGAGGTTCATAGTTCCTTGGAGGTGGAGTCACAGGTAGATAGGATAGTGAAGGCGGTGTTTGGTACACTTGCCTTTATTGGTCAGTTCATTGAGTTTAGGAATTGGGAGGTCATGTTGGGGTTATACAGGACATTGGTTAGGCCACTTTTGGAATACTGCATTCAATTCTAGTCTCCCTACTACAGGAAGGATGTTGTGAAACTTGAAAGGATGCAGAAAAGATTTACAAGGACGTTGCCAGGGTTTGAGCTATAGTGAAAGGCTGAACATGCTGGGGCTACATTCCCTGGAGTGTTGAAGGCTGAGGGGTGACCTTAGAGTTTTACAGCATCATGAGGGGCATGGATAGGATGAATAGTCAAAGTCTTTTCCCCAGGGTAGGGAAATCCAAACTAGAAGGCATAGGTTTAAGGTGAGGGGGGCAAGAGTTAAGAGGGACCTAATGGGCAACTTTTTCACAGAGGGTAGTGAATGTATGGAACGAGCTGCTAGAAGGGATGGAGGCTGGTACAATCGCAACATTTAAAAGGCATCTGGATAGACGAATATAGACCAAATAATGGCAAATGGGACTAGATTAACTTAGGATATCTGGTTGGCATGGAAGAATTGGACTGAAGAGTCTGTTTCTGTGCTGTATAACTCTATGGCCCTATAACTGCAGTTCCCAGTGGCTGAGTGCAGTTGCTGCAAGCATCAATGTGGAGGATCAGCCATGATCATATCGAATGGCAGAGCAGGCTCGAAGGACTGAATGGCCCACTCCTGCTCCTATTTCCAATGTTTCTATCTCCATCGATCATTTAATTAATCTTCATTCATTACCTCCCTGATAATCTGGCCATCATATATAATACTGTATCTTTGAATTTTTCTTTTTACTGTTAATCATATCATCAGGCAAGGAGTTAGGGCCGTGTGGCAAGACAGAACGTCAGGCACAGGCATCCCCACTCTCAGCTAGAACTAGATTTTTAATACCTTTCAGCATGCATAGACAAAAGATCCAGCCTTGATAAATAAAATGTACATACTTTCCAGATGCAGCAGTTTCTCGTCTGATGTGGAAGCCAAGGGCAACAAATCACTTGATCAGAAACATAAACACAGAATCGCGTCGGCAAGAATTTACCAATCCATCCAATTGGTCAGCTAGGTTTATGTTTATTATACAGAATTTTGGAGGCTTCAAATTCCTCTTTTTGTTCCTTTTAGACTAAGCAAAGTAGAAGAAATCTTTGGTTCACTTCAGACACCCGAGGCAACTCCAAAATACTAGTAGCCGAGTTCTACCCTGCACTAGAATTAATCGAGCTAAAAATTAGGTTATACAGATTCTGATTCAAATGTTAACATTTGAAATTTAAAAACTCGGTACATGAATATAATTTTGAAATTATGTTTGTCTGCTCGGTGTGTAATGTACATGAAATGATTAAGTGATTCAATCACACTTTTCAACAGCAGCTTATTGGCTTGAGATATCTAAATTGTTCTGACCATGCAGAGTGAGGCTTTACCTTGCCACAGCCAGGCACTTCTAGCCCATCCAAAGGTCGTGGGATTTCAATAGATTTCACAGTCCCATATTTGCTACACTCTTCTCTGATATCCTCCAGGATCTCCTCATATTCCTCGTCATCAATGAGTTCATCTGGTGACACCATGTTTAACAGGCACAGCACATCAGTTGGAAGCCCCGTGCTCTGAGCTTGCATTGATGGAAGGCCTGGCACCTGCACAGTAACCGGTGTTTGAATAATGGCACTCTGTAACAGATAATAAAGGGATTTGCAGCAAATTAATGTTTTTCTCTTAAAACAAGTAGCTACAAATTCACCACATTATAGCTTTAGGATAGGAATAACATTCCTCCACATCTGCAAGTCTCAATCATAGCTGCTGAATATGCCAGGTGACAATGATGTGTGGGGAAAACATAGTGAAAGAAAATACAAGATGACACTAGAAATAAAACAACAGCAACCTGATGCATCTGTGACTTTTGCTAATAGTAATGATCACACAATCTAATCTAGAATCAATTATGTCAAAAAAAATCCCATCAATACCATGATGGGTGTCCAGTTAAGCAGTTTCTACTTTTGTTGAGAAGTACAATTTATCAGCACTTCAATATTCTTTATGGAAGTGTTGTGGACTCCTTAATGTCTCTGGACACAAATGAGGCTGTGGTTTAATATTATACCAAGATGATAGTATGTCAAGCCTAAACCACGTGCTGAAAACCTGGAGAGCATTTTAAGCCTAATTTTAAGTATATACTTATATTTTAAGTACACGGGGAGGCTATGACCTAGTGGTATTATCACTGGACTGAGATAACGTCCTGGGGACCTGAGTTCGAATCCCGCCACAGCAGATGGTGGAATTTAAATTCAACAAATATCTGGAATTAAGAATCTAATGATGACCATGAATCCATTGTCGGAAAAACCCATCTGGTTCACTGATGTCCTTTCGGGAAGGAAACTGCCATCCTTACCTGGTCTGGACTACATGTGACTCCAGACCCACAGCGAAGTGGTTGACCCTTAACTGCCCTCTGGCCTAGCCAGCGACACCCTCGTGGAATGAATTTTTAAAAATTACATTGGACACACATGAAAGATTTACCACCAACTGGAAGGAAATGCACTGAGTTTGGTTAATACAATAGCAATCACAGGATCCAATTTAGATCAAGAGACTTAGAATCTTGCAGCACAGGGGAAACCACTCTACTTATCATTTCAGTGGCAGCGCTTGACCCATTCACTATCAATTAGTCCTTTTAAATTACAGGTCCAACTGTCTTTTCAGAGTTTGGATGGAATCTTATCACTCTTTCAGATTCCAGGGCTTAAAACGCTATGTGTGAAAAGAGCTAACTTACCCTCCAATTCCTTCACCAGTAATTTCACTTTTGTGATGTCTGGTTACAACACTCAACAGAGGAGTTATTTCACACTGCTTGCTCTATCAAAACACAGCAATTTTAAATAGTTCTACTAGGTCACGTCTTAACCGTCTGTGTTCAAAGAGAAAACAATCTCTGCTTCTCAAATCCTTCTATAAACTGCAGTCCCACAACTCAGGTACTACCCTGGTAAAACTTTGTAAAATATTATACTCATCGTGTTAGCCAAGGCAAATTAAATTTCAGTAAATTATTAAACAGCATCTTTTCTCCAGCAAATAAATGGTACAAGAAATTGATGGAATGAATGGTCTACTATTGTGTTGTAAAACGCTTGAAATATTTTGCCTGGATGAACAGCTAAAATACAGTGCCGTATGGCTAGTTTATTATTAAACAACTCGCTGATTTTGACCTTTTAAAAAAAAAAACCAGTACCAATTTCAAAATGAATGACTCTGAAGAAGAAATCAACACATTTCAGTAGCTACTGCAATACTAAAGCTTAGTTGCATGGAGTGGCAGAGGTCTTAGGTTCATGTTAAAAGGGCAAAAAATAAAAATTTTAAAGGAACAGTGCAGTACGATTAGTATTGGGCTATTCCAGCAGACAGCTGGCACAAACATGATTGGGCAACTTGTTGTCTTCTATAGATCCAGGGCCGTGTTATTTGCTGAATGACGTCCGGGCAGTTATCGTAGCCCAGCAAGAAGCCATCAATTCAGTTCGTAGCTGTACTGTTGAGGTCAGGGGGCTACCCTATTATAAAATCATTTGCCAAGTAAAGGTGATACAGAGCCATGAAACTTGTTGAGATTCATTGATGACAAATTTTCAGCGAACAGAATTTAAACAGGTTGGAAGTATTTAGTCTTTGGGGAAGGACAGAATTGGCCACAACAGTGAAACTTTTTTCCCAGTTGAAAGCTTTGCTAACTACCATAATTTACAGATTATTAGATACTTGGTTAAGAAGATACAATAAGCTGACAATTGTGTATGCATTCTATGTTCAACAAAGAATCAGTATCTCAAAGGGAGAAAATCTGATTACTCAAACATTTCACTTTGGATTTTATAATTACTCAAGAAAGTATGAAGTTAGCACTAACAAACTAAACAGAAACATTAAAAAGCCAATGCAATCCATGAATCCAAACCTAGTCATATGTCATTGATTGTCTTTGAGAAAATATGACTTCCACTCAAAATTTTATATTCTTGGCAACATGTCACTTACACATGCTGTTTTCAGGTACTGCTCAGTTACATAAAACTAATGCAATCAGTTTTAGTTCAGGCTTCATTTAATAAATACTCAATTGTTGACTGCACTAACTGGGATAGCTACACCAGAACTACAGGTTTGTACCCAACTAAATTTTGACCTGCTTACATACTACTGGTTGTTATCTCAAAGCTCACTCAAGATTTGAATCAGCCAACCCCCATACTATAGCAAAATGTTTTTCAGTGATGCTGAAGTTGAATAAATGGTCAAAAAAAGACAAGAATAGATGAGCAGATTTGCTGATTTTACAAATAAGAGTTTGCTGCCCAATCGATTTAAAGTTCCTTGCCCTGTGTGAAGGCCAGACCAAACAGAGTAAAATTATAAATTAGTTACCGGATTGGCGTTCTTTGCACCAACACTGGCCCTCTGCACTATAAGCTTCTTATCACCAAGCTGCATTCCATTCAACCCTGCGATGGCCTAAAAAGAACACACATTATTCAGAACAGGCAGAATAGAAGGATATTTGATGAACTACATCAATTTTTGAATGTTTCAATGTACACTTGCTTCCAAACAATTGGGGAAGATTTCCTTTGGAAACTTTTATGTAGCACAGCACAACCATGTTCTAACCAGTTTAAGATTTCATTATACAGTGGCTAAAGAAAATCATCCCCAATGTCAGCTGATTTAAAGACATGAATTCTGAATTCACAAACTGCAGTTTGTTAGAAGCAGTATGACAGTACTGAATATCAGGCCTCAAATTACAGTTTTCACAAATAAGTTTTTCCTGTAGTTTTGATTTTACTGCCTCCCCATTTTGAATCCCAATTCCTTATTGACACTCTTCATAATGAACCTACCAAGAAGCAGGCAACTGAAACCGTGGGCTTCTCCACAACTTTGCAAGGATCAGCTGGTCGGAAGTAGACATACCTGAAGCCCTGGTGGAGACCCAGCAGAAAACTGATGAAACTCATCATGCTTATGTTTGGCAGGCTTGAGTGTTGGTCTCCACAGAAGTTTAAGCCTGCAACCAGAGATGCAATGTGATCCCAGGCTGTAAGAACCAAAAGTCTGGTCGTCACCAAGCTCTCCTAGAAGCCAATGACTAGGGTATCCATCAGGACAGTGGCCCACTTTCCCCCTTATCTGTGGCCCTCAGGAGACCCCTACCGTTTTATGTACATGGACCTGCACACACAGTGCATCAGCACAGGGAATAGAGCGTGCTAGAGTGAGAATGACAGGTAAGATGCAATGTTTAGTTATTAAGTGTCAATGCCTGAAGAGAAGGACGCTGCTAACTGAAGTCATCAAGACTTTGCATACAGATATGTTAATTTATTTCAGTGGCAGATTTATCATTCAAACTGCATGCAACGTATTAGATTGCTGATGCAGTTAGGTATGGGTCTTGTTGAAACCAGCTGCCTGTTCTCTTTCCTAAACTCTTCTGTTATTAGCTTTTGTATCCTAGAAAGAGATTTTAGAAAATCCCTGATCAACTGGTGAATTTGATCACAAACTTTACACATTTATTCAACGCCACGAAAGCTGTATAACTCTGAAAAATTGGGTGACAATGATTATTTTCATATTTCACCAGTTACAAAATAAGGATTTCCAACTCTTTTTGTTGTATGTGACAGCATTCGTGCAAACTTACCAACTGTAGTCAGCCGAAGCAGAAGTATGTGGGCCGAAAGCTAAAAGTGACGTGAAGGATGCCACCCATCATGCAAAACAAGGCGAGAGATAGAGAATGGGAAGCATGGTGTACACTAGTAATGCAACAATGCATTTACAGTTGATGTCCGATAACCAAACGAGTTTTGAATACATGTGGGGACCATGTACAGTGGTCCACTCAGTTAAATGTGAAGCATAGCAATCACCACGGCACTCACAAACCCCGACCCCCAAAATAAACATAACAGGGCAATGCGAAAACAAGACACAGGGAGATAGGTAGTGGTCTAAATAGCATAACTTCTTTTGGGTGCAGCCACTCCAACAGGAAGCAATATACAGTATAACAAAGCCAGTGCACAATAGAATGAGAAGTGGGTGATACACAGAATTACAAGTCCACTTTGCTTAATTCTGATTTCTGTACCATGATCCTTTACTCAAAAAGAAGTAAAAGTACAAACCTTACCTTTTATCCAATACATCCTCAAGTTCTGTTGATTTTTTAGGCCTACCTCCATAACAAAAAGGCTGCATCTGGTAGACTGGTAGTTAGCCCAAAGATCCCACCCCTCAGTTGTTTGAATTCTACAACTTCAAAGACCAACACGGTCACTTTATAGACACATGATCTAGTTAATTCCCCAGCATTAAATACCTCTATCACTTTAGATGTTTCTTGTCTGCAGCATGGTCAACAAAAATGATCCCAGATGAGGTAACTTGAGACACGGAAAAGTTAATCAACTATACAATGTATCGATAATATATTTTTCCAATATCCAAAACACATTATTCCATTATATTCAGAAATCTAATATGAAATGGAGTGATATTAAAAATAAACTAAATATGCTTTTTTTAAATGCCAATAATATATACCTGATCAGTAACATTGATATCCACATATTCACAGAAGGCATAGCCTTTGGACAGAGATGTTGCACTGTCCTTCACTAGGTTAAAAGCTTTCAGGGGGCCAAATGAAGTCAGAAGTTCCTTCACCTGCAAGCCAAATCAACAGTGCAATGATGAATGAGTAATTTTGAAGAAATTACAAAATAAAGTTTTAAATAGTGTACAAATTAGTCGCCAAGAATAGTAATAAAAGATCAATCCTTTTAGGTACTGGGCATAAAATGATGGAAGAGCAAATTCAATAAACTCTCAATAGGATTTTAAACATCAGTAGTTCAGTTATACATGTAGACAATCTGAAGTTTAAGAACAGGCCTCTAGTCAATACTTAGCATCAGGATAAGATGTTTGTGTTGCATTAAAGGGGAAAAGATTTCCAGTTAAACAAACAGCAGCCAGCACCAAGACATTGTTACAAATTAAGCCATACTCAAACACTAATTCTACAGAAACAAAAACAAACGGCTGGAAAAACTCAGCAGATCTGGCAGCAACTGTGAACAGAAAGTAGAGTTAACACTTTGGGTCCAGTGACCCTTCTTCAGAACAGGTCACTTGATCTGAAACATTAACTCTGCTTTCTCTCCACACAATCTGCCAAACCTGCTGAGCTTTGCTAGCAATTTCGAATATTCAGCATCTGCAGTTCTTTGGCTTTTCTTTGGTTAGTAACCAATCCTTCAGATTCTGCCTTGAACAAAACTCTCCAATGCAAAGAATAAGAACAAAATCAAAGAATGTTGGCTATCTCTTGCTAATGGACGATAAATATCACGCAGCTAGCAAGATGATACCCGCAAGTTTAAAAAAGGACAGAAATAATTCACGTATAAAACAGAGTTTAAAATATACTTCTCCAGATCAATTTACATAATCTGAAGTAACAGATTATAATCCAAATGAACAAAACCTCCAAGAAGAAAGCACCTGCTTGATTCTTGAAGCAATGAAAAACACTAGTTGTAAGTAACTGGCAAGATTCTATTAGCTAAACCTCTCAGAAGAGATTTTCACAGCATAAATGAAGAAATGCGAAATCCTAGACAGGTAGGACAACATACCAAGGATGCAAGAACTATATTGCCAAAGATATTCTATTTGTATAAATCTAATCTGACTGTAGGCCTGTTCTTATACTTGCACTGATCTGCTAATTAAAAACAAAGTGGACAAGGGCCTAACTCAATTCATTTTAATAAAGGGACATTTAAGTATTAAAAATGCACAACGGGTTGGGCAGTGAATGACTCAAACAAGAGTCTACATTAAACCATACCACTTAAGCAGTTTGTATTGCTTTAAGAACTAGTACTGCACAGACCATTAGAAAACAGTCTCAAGTATCACCCTAACACCCCATCCCAGCAAAAACATCCGACAATTTAATCGTGTTTTCCGGTCCCAGTGTTTTGCATTTCTTCCTTCACACTCCAACATTCAAACCATCAACTTCTTCAAACTGAATGCTGACAAACATTTTGAAGCACTTATCAAAATAGTGAATGATCCCAGTGGAATTCATACAAAAGTTGTGATTACCAAGCAACATATGACTAGAGGCCAGAGTTCTGTTTTATTTGCTTGTTCCCAACTATTCATAATACCTTGCTCATTTCATGTAAACAAGTCTACATTTTCCTAAGGAAACTAGAAGCTGAAGAGTTTCATCAGTGTCATTTCTTTACCACATTTATGTCCAAGTGATCGATGGAAGGTAGCATACTGCTATCTAGTCATAGTGTGACAGCTGTCAGGACCATCCCTCAACCTGCTGAGTTATTCGGTCTCTCCCGCCCTTCTTCCTAGCAGATATTCTGCTTGGCCCATCAGCTAGATGAACAATGAAACCTAAATCAACAATCTGACTGAAAGGCAGGCAGTTGCTCAAAAGCTTAAAAGAATTACTAAAGGCAGAATGAGGCCATTTAGCCCACTGTTGCAGAGAGGTGGTATGGACAGAACATCTCATTCATTTTCACACATCTGCCCTTCAGGTACTTATCCAAACTCAACTGAATCTGCCAACATTAATTGCAAATAGTGCATTCCAGATTCTCACCACACAACACATTTAAAAAAGACTGATATAGCTGTTGGTTCTTTTGCCAATAACTTAAATTCAATTCTCAATGCTTCCATGGATAGTTTTGGCCTAGTTACTTTATCCAGAGCCTTCTGATTTTGAATACCTTGACCAAACCTCCTCTCAACACTCATTTCTAAGGACAGCAACACAGCTTCTCCAATCTTATCAAAATAATTGTATCATACATTCTCGGAACCCTTCTTATACACTATTTTACTGCACTCTCTCTAAAGCTTCACATCCTTTCTAAAGTGCAGTGCCCAGAATTGGACACATTGTCCAATGGAGGCTGCAACATTATTTTATGGAGGCTGACGAGTCCATTATGTGGTAATTCAATACCTTCGTAAGTCCATGCGCCTCAAACGCATCACCATCCAATCCTGAGACCTCAAAAAACTTAAGAGTTAAACACATCTACCCTCAACACACACATGCTGGCTTTCCTTAATTAATCCACTGGAGTCAGCTTCTTCATTCACTAGGACATCAGCTGTATCTTCTTCCTTAGTAAAGGCAGATGCAAACTATTCATTTAGTAACACAGCAAAGCTCCATGCATAAACCTCCTTTTTTGTCCCCAGTTGACCATGCACCCCTCCCCCGCCCCCACTTTCCCTGAGCTTTCTATATTCAGTTGTGTAGTAAACCAGCAAACCTTTTTCTTCTCCTTCCTGCTTTAACTGTAGTGAAAGAGCTCTGGTTGGTTTAACCTATCTTCTGTTTTGTTCAATGCACCTTGAGCGCATCCAAATTGTCTTATTAAATTCCATTGAAATTGGCCCTCTTCAAACGTAGCATTTTTATTATAGATTTCACTTTCTTTCCATCACCAACTCAACAGTGCAATGAAATTATTGCTGCTCCCTGAACGTTCTTCTACTGGTACTTGATCCACTTGACAAACCTTATTCCCCAGAATCTGAGCTAGTAATGCCCCCTTCTCTCTGTTGGACATACTGATCAAGAAATTTCTCCCAAGCACAATTCCAAAATTCTTCCTTGCACTTCATCACTATTAAGTTTGAAAACCATTTGAATTTCCTTTCATATTTACTCCTTGATATCCTTCCGACTAGTTGGTGGCTTATAGAATATATTCAACAGTGTAATGGCATCTCTACTGTGTTAGCTGCCAATCACAATAATGATTCCAAAACTACTGAGAAGATGCATAAAGACTTGGAAACGCCAACCAGCAATTACTATATTCATATGAACTCTTTACTTCTGTGAAAAATGAGGAAACTTCCTTTCATACAATCAATAGTCTGGAAACAAAAAACAACTCTAATAGGGAAATTACATTACAAAATTTAAAGTGTAATCAGGATAGTTACCTGATCAGATAAGTAAACAGTTATGGATGAAAACAAATTGGTTCAACTTAACAAAATTACACGATTACAAAGGATCGTTACCTTAGATTTAAATCTCGAAGAAAGACCAGTGCCTTGAAATTTGCCCACAGGATAATTACACAGCCAATTTATTTTAGACATGTTAATACCGCTGTTGAAAACTGTCAGGAATTTCAGGAAAGTTATCCCAGAGGACACATTAAGGCATGAAGTTATATATTTTTTGCCGTTTCACAGCACTGGAATTCAAACACCTCTCCAGGCACTCCCTTTACTGGGATTCACACATCTTTCAGATGCTTTGTCCCATATCAAAATGCCAAGAGATTCCAGGTATTTTTGTATTTCTTTCAGAACTCTGGACTCCAGACATGGGTTTTTTTTTAAATAAACAAACAAACCGAGGTCTTTGCAGTCTTCATATTAACCCATTGAGGACTATCTGCACCGAAACAATCATAGAATTTTCTCTCTAATTGTACATGAAGAAATGTTTGTGGGGCTTCCAATTGTGGCTTGATATTTTAAGGATTCAAAGTGATTGAAAAGTGAGGAAAACCTTAAGAAAATCAACAGCATAAAATAAACGTGGTTCTCAAGGGGTTAATAAAGGCAATTGAGAAACTCGTCTCGAAGATATCTTCCAAAACAAAAAAAGCTCCATAAAGAAACAGAAAACTTAGTAGTTTAAACAATCCTCGACTATGAAAAGCTGGAAAAAAAGGAAAAAGGAATAAAAACTCTTACCTCCCTCAGACACATATACCATTGGTCTATATGGATTACTCACACCACTCCTTAAAGTGGTTTATTCATTTGTACCAAAACAAGTTTAATTTGTTTTCTCTTTGTTTAGGTCTACCCTCAAAGCCAGCAAATGCTCCAAGGAAGGCTGGGCAGGTCCTAGAATTGAGGGCAGAGCAGAGCAGCTGGCTCCGAGGGTATCCGAGTGCGGGACATGAGCTCTTACTTGCCTTGTCTTACAGGTTGGCATGGCAGCAGTAGATCAGTACTACTGAACAAACTATGCGCCAAGACTTACGATCTTACAGGCCCCTAGCTGGGGACAAAGTGGGGGAACAAAAATGAAAGAGCCATGAGTATCAACCAGCAGTGACTACAAAGGAAGGAGTCAGTATAATACTGGCTCACAAATTTAGAATTAGAAAACAAAACTCCCTGCTCTCATTAAACCGTGCATTTCAGACTAATGTCGAATATCAATTACAAATTTAATACCAATTTCTCCAATTGTTTCCCCCCCCCTGAGGTTTAGGTGAGTGTTAAGACAGCTAAAGAATTTAATAGAGTGCTGCCCAGGATCATATCATGTTTTTAACTTTACAAAATATTTGAAATCTATTAAATATTTAGTTTGGAATTAGGAAGTAAATGTACACCCTAAGCAAAGGTTTGCTATGAACACAATTAAACTATCCAATGGTGAAAAGAGTTACCTGAAGAAACTAAAAAAAAACTTACTTGTGCAGGGCACATACATTAGGGCTTGAAATTAATACTGATCCAATTCTTGCACATGGAAAAGTAAATTCAAAGTTTTTTTAAAATACAGCAGTCACTGTGCGGTCACTGTGCAAATTTCCACCTGTCAGTCAACAAATTCTACATGAAGCTGAATAGTGCTGGATTCTTAAAAGACTTAGGAGTTCTTTGATTTAGAGCCTCCAATCTGTGGCTTACACCCAGTGGTTACAATTAGTTGCCAATCCATTTTGGCACTGGTACAACCATTTTGCTTTAAGCTTTGAATTTACTTGCAACAGTTATAGTCTACTGCATGCATGAAACTATCCTTTTAGACTATCAAAATTATTTTTGTGTATTTGTATTTATCAAAACTTGCATATAATCCAGTCTAAGGGAGGGGAAAATAGTCAGAAGGTGCTTAAAATCAATGATGTATTTTTTTTAAAAACTGAAAAACAACAAAGATGTACTGGTCAGTATTGTATGTACAAGTGGATCCAACAATTAATTTTCAGCCCAAAGAATAGAGTGCCCTTCGCCCATCTCTCTAGTTTAAATTAAAAGGCTATTTAATTAAAAAAAAAACTTGATATGATCCTTCAAAGGCAATTTTATAGTAAAAGCAAGCTTGAACTACACAAATTTATCAAGTGTTTTTAACACTACATATCATAAGTATAGAAATTGACTGTAATTTCATCTCACCTTCATATGCCGAACGGTTTAGGAATCTAAAACCTGTAAAAACTGAACTGCTGTGAAAAGAAAATGGGGCTAAAACAAAAAAAATTTACCACTGCAAAAATATGCCATGTTGGCAACCTGAAAGTTCTACAATTGACAATACCTATGCTAATTTATAAATGATTGAAATATTAAAAAGGAAATTGAAGCCAAATTCAGGAATCCTAAAAAGGGAAAACAGGAGGAGATCCCTGCAAAGGGGAAAAAGGCCCTCAAAGTGCAAAATATCTTCTAGTAACACTGGAACAGAATAGATTTCATCTGTGATGATGCTTTTGCAGATCTGCATCGTGAAGACGTTGTCACCCTTCAGTAGCCCAAGTTGCTATTTGCCTTGCTGCGAAACTAGGCCAGTGCAATTTGCTCGAGCAAAAATGGCACTTTTATTCATTAGGTAACAAATTTTCAGCCAGCCTTTTTATTAGATCCACATTTTAACACAAGCAAATTCGCGTTTAAAAAAATGGGGAGGAAGAATTAAACAATCCAATTTGCCCATTGCTTTTACCATAAATCAACAGATATTCACTGCTCAGTGATTTACCCATAAAGGATTTATATATAAATATAATTTTAAAACCCCTCAATATAAGGGCTGATCCAATTACACCAGCTACTAGAAACCAATAGTGATTAAAAAAAGTCTTCAGAAACCAATTTGGAATTGCATTGGAGAAAGCTGACACCTTCAATAGTCAATCACTGCTACATAACTATCAGACCGACATTGTTTGGTCAGTGGCACAAATCAGTGCAGCTTGGGATATATGATTTGAAGAGGAGAAAGAGCAGAACCACACTGTCAGCTTTCTCCGAGTGGGTTGTATCTATAGCTACCTGATCATCATTGAGGTAATTGGGCAAACCGCCAATGAAAAGCTTGTGTGGAGAATCTGGAACGACTGTGGAGACAACACCTATAGAGAGACAAGAGAAAGAAAACATGGCAATATAAACATCCGGGACTAGAAGGTATGGGTTATTAAGTTGCACATTTAATTAAAAAAAAAGTAAGGAAGGAAAAATATCAGGGTCACACAAAACACTTTACCTCTTGATGGGAGGTAGGTAAGGGATTCAGAATGTCTGAATCGTCATGGAGACTTCTACTTAGTGGATAGGAAGACATGTTGCAATGAGATACATAGAAACTATACCCTAGAGAGAGAGATGATCTGCTTCCATGTGGTACATGAGTGCAGCTGCAGATCTGACGATACTATCATGCTTATGGATGATGTCAGCCACAATGGGGACTTGAGCCATCTTTAGGTTTGCGGAGGGGATAAAGGAAGGGTTCAGATAATGGACCTTGATTAAGTTTTGTCTTGGAGAACAATAGGTAAAAGTATATATATATAAATATATATATAAAATACTTAGGAAACATATATGTTGGAAGTTTCTTCCTGCGCCTTAATTTGAATGAACTCACCCCTCTTGTTAAAGAAAAAAGCAAGCCACGTATGGGTCAGAGGAAAGCAGAAGCGTAACTGGTAAAACCTTCTGACTTACAGTGTTGCGAATGTGGCCCTAGTCACATGCGCACGTTCCCAGGCTGGCGTAGAATCTTGCTGCGCCAGCTGCTCCAAACCGGAACATAAAGACTCTGCAGGTTTCCAAAATCCACAAGTGAGTGAACTTTTAATAGTTGCAGGGATTAAGAACCGGTGAGGATGGAAGAGATTAAAATGAAGAAAAAATTGAGAAAATATCAAAAGGAAACAGGGAAAAAGAAATAAATGTTCAAAAGGCAAGAGGAAAAAAAAACAAAACAAAGAGAAAAAAGAGCAAAAGTGAAGGTGAATTCTTTTCATAAAGTGTATTTCCTCCACCACCCCATCCCTAACAAGAGCTAA